TGACAAGCATCTCGGGTCATTACACTTTTCATCAGTCTGCATTCTACCTCTGCAAGGCTCATTGTTCCCAGCTAAATCGGGTTCCTTGAACATTCGGCCGCACAGGTAGACCAGCAGGCCGTTCTTCGCTCACAGTGCTCAGTCCTTCCTCGACAAACCTGCTTCCAGAACTTGGCGAACGCGATGGAGGACGTCCGTTCAGCTGCGGGACCAGGAGACTACCACGGCTGGTGGTCGTTGTAGGGCTGGTACTCCCGCCAGGTAACAGTTGCGCTTGTGATCTCGATGCAATCTCTGGTGATATCGGACTCGACATACTCCTGCTATTTGTGTTGCTAGATTGTCGAGAATGGCTGCCACGGCTGGCCCCGACTGGGCTGATGCCCTGGTCGTCGGATGACACAGTTCCAAACGCATGACTGTGCCTGACGCTATAGGGGCTGATACTGCTGCTGAAACGATTATTGATCTCCGCTGGTGAGTAAGGGGGGACTGGCGAGCCAGATCTTTCACTAGCTGCCGCTTCTGCTGCCTTTGTCGAATGCTGCTGCTCGAGCTCTGCCGGTCTTCTTGGATCATTCCTCATGAGTGCCGATCCCCGACGAGGGCCTTCGTTGCTTTCGAAGAAACTCGGAGAGACAGGGCCTGCAGGCATTTCGATTGGTGTGTTGCTCGCCAGTTCGAACCTGCTAACCGATGGGTCTGCAGGCACCTCAGTTGGGTGACGTTTATCACCCAGCAATTCAGAAACCGAGATCTTCGAATCAGGATTCCGCTGCAACCGTCTAAGCAGTGACCGTCTCTTCTCCTTTTTCGGTCCAGGACTGCCTGACGCACCCCACTTCCGGAAGCAGAACCACAAAGTCAGTGCCAATGCAAGCAGTGCCCCTACTCCAGCTCCAACCCCGATCCCTATTTTGGCCCCTGTCGACAATCCAGTACCCGGAGGACCTGGCCATATGCTGCCGTCGGGTCGAGAGATTGCTAGAAGGTTGACATTGCTGACAGCATCCAATGTGAACACTGCCTGCGATATCGAGAAGTTGTTACGTTCGTAGTCGACTGTAAGATAGGTCTCTTGCAAGAATGCTCGACCAATGGTATATTGTGTAGAATTAGCTGCCTTTCGCAGAGGGAAATAGTTTGTAGGAGGGGAGGTAAAGTTTGCGGCCAGATTTGGGAATGGATATGTCAGTTGAAGGTCGAATGCGTCGTAGGGTAAGGTAAGTTCAATCCCATCGGATGAGCCAGGCAAATTGCTCAGCGTGAAGGTGAACGTCAAATTCCATGCACTGAGAGCATCGGGCGACGATGAACTGTTGGAAGGGAAGAGGTAGAGTTGCAAGGTGTCGTCATAAGTTAGGTTGAGAGCATTTGCGAAAGCATCGCAAGCTGGCTCCGGAAGCCATAGAAATGGAGTTGACGAGTCAATGGTGAATAAGTCGGCTTGAGATAGATCCAGAAGCGTCTGGGGGTTCGAGTTCCAATTAGAAGGTAGAGATTCAGCCCCGGACGAGACCGATATCGAGTTGACAGCAACAATGGGAGCATAGTCCTGGCTCAAGGTGAAGCTCATGTCATTCGGTACGAATCGATTCGCATCAACCCCTCCCAAGATCAATGACGCCGGAACACTTTTTAGACCTGGACATCGCATCAGCGGAACTGCAAGTGTCGGGGAGAGTGAAAAGAGCACATACGGTAGACTGCTCCTGCCGTATAGCCGTAACTACGGCTGGGGATATCGTTGCGCTTCTGGATCAAGCTCGACAAGAGCGGTGAGATGGCCTCGGAGCCACTAAAGCGAGTTTGTTGAACTCCAAGTCCCAAGCTGCCGACCCAGTAGTCGGTCGAATTGACCACGGCGATAATTTGGTCGGGCACAGAGATCGCATCGTCTAGTGAGAGAGTGTCCAAGCCATAATAGCCAAATCCACTGCCACCCAGCTGGGGATCAAAGTTGAGCTCATAAAAGCCTCGAGGTTTGAAAGAAGAAGACTCGTTGGCGGAAAACAACCCTCCTCTTTTACTCTGACAGACAGTCGTCCCATCGCAGCCGGCCGGACCTACCACCCACGTCTCCTGACCCAGGGTACTCGGGAAAACAGAAAGATATTGCTCGGGCGACCCGACCCGTATACTGATGGCCGACCACAGGCCGTCATAGCCAAAGAAATCGGTGCTTGTTGTCGCAACAATGGGGATAGGATTTGAGGCTTCGACCAGGCCAAGTGACAGTATCAGACCCAACGCAATCAAGAGGTCACCGCTAGACCACGAAATAGGAGCGAAGCGGACGTGATATGAAGAGCGCATTGTGCCGCGGATTCAACGAGTTCGAAAGACCCTCATAGCTTGAAAACTGGTTTTGGAGGGGAGTATGAACGTCAATCGCGTTGGAAAGATTTGAACGAGGGACTGTTCCAACGTAGGACGGAGTATAGGTTCGCGACAAGGAGAATTGCTGAACGAGAGTAGATGATAACTGCAATTGAAAACGAGAGGACGTCAACGAGGAACAGAAGGATGGTGTGAACGAGGAGGGGACAAATGTCTCATCCACATGGCCGCGAAAAGAGAGAAGCAATCACCATCGTCCTCGGTCTGCACCCTGCTTCGCCCACACTCGGTAGGGAGCCTGGGAGCCGAACTTTTTGGAGGCCACCCAGACCAACCTGACTCGGTACTAGGCAAGCACTACAACCACTCGCAGTAACAAACCTTTCAAGCCTTTGCAACTACAACTTTGTGGGTGGGTGGTCGCGAATCATAACGCCAACATTGCTGCCATTGCTGCTCTCCTCTCGCCCCTGTCAGCATTCGACTCGTAGGTAGGGACATTCTATCCACTTTCCCTGACAGGAGAAAAAGGGACGCAACTTGGGATGCTCAAGATGTTGCTTCTAACAAGTACTTGTACGAAGTGTGAGGCGAGGGATTGGATTGGCAAGGGAATTTTTGCTCCTGCGCCAACGAATCGTTCTGATCTCCAGATTGCACATGTTTCCACCTCTCTTCCGCTTTCCTCCCACGATGCGAGTGTAACTGAGGCAAACACATGATACCATGGAGCTGCCTTAATTGAGTCTGCTTAGGACTTCTTTTTGGATTGAATTCTCCAGACCGGGCCTTCCAGCAATAATACCCTCCATCAGATTGGCATAAGTTTTTGCCAAAAAGCCAAGGCACTGTTTCGCCGCACTGAGAGTCATAGCCCCCAAGTGCCCCATTTGATTGAAACTGCTTGGCACCGCAAGATGCGAGGACCAAATATGTGCGACTTTCCGTCTAGGTACGGTGCTTTGCCCTTGTCAGCCCCAAACCGATGTCGACCGATGCACGCAAAGAGTCGCACAAGCCGGTCTCTCGGGGATGTCTGAACGGCGGACTGCATCGGCGACTTGATATTGTCATTGAAGTGAAGGAGACTGCTCATCAACGTCATGTCATCTGTCCCACCCGAAAGGCCTGGTGCGACGCTCTGGTCTGGACCTGCATTCCCGAACACGAGAAAGCTGATTGATTCTGATACCACAAGGCAGACAGGTGGAGCCCGGCATCAAGCTCAAGTTCTCGGGGACATGTGGCACTTTCTTTCTGGTAGCCCATGCTCAGAGGCCCAGAACCTTGGCTCCCGGGGAGGGTCCTATTGGAAGCCGTGTAACATGTGTTCACCTCTTTGGGATTATGATGGCGAGACAGAAGGACAGCAAGAAACAACACTCGTATATGAGCATTCGATGGGACAGCGGCGTGTCTCAGGTCAGGGTTGTGCGCAGGAGATGCTGCCCAGGCACTGGATGGCTTTGAGTTTGCCCATCATGATGCACGGTAGATTGGGCAAGACGGGAGAAGAACCATCCAAGAAGCACTAGAGCTCGAGGGGAACAGTTGTTGAATAAGCGGGGAGATGAAGATGATTTGGAGACAAACATGACAACCAGTGAGCAGCCTGCAAAGACATTCTGTTCCTCAGTGATGGCTGCAACGGCGTGTCCTCGGGCGGGGCCGGCACCGGTTTGGAGTTTGTTCAGGCTCGCAGGACCTGGAGGCTGCTAAAAGACTACCAGTAGGTAGAAATTCTCCCCGTTAGGCTTCATAGTTAGCAGCGGAGACCCCTCGGTGCCCCCTTTGGTGCTTTGGCTCCTCCATCAAGAGGTAACCAATGGGCACCGCAAGCCCTGAGACCCCTGCTACGGTGGCTGCAGGTCAATCCGAAGCTCCAGCCAATCTTATGGCGCGCTTGCAGCAGTGATCGCGTCGAGGCAACCTTGGTGATCCTGGACGGCTGGGCGGGCCACCACAACGGTTTGGCAACAAGGGCCCGTGAGAATCACCAGTCCCAGCCAGCCAAAGGTTGGAAGATGCCATCTCCATGCCAGATGCAAGAAGCCAAAAACCCGGTCTGGGCAAACAGGGCTTCTCGGACTGCTCGAGGCTGTGAGCGACTGGATGAAAGGCCCCGTCGGTATCGATGGGACCCCCCTGTCACCCTGCCACCCTGCCACAACTGTTGAATCTGTCCCTCTCCGCCTCTCTTCCGAACCACTCCCTTCCACAATACCGCAGACCTCATTGCGTATCAACCCAACTCTCCGTCAACTTCACTTCGGCTGGCCCTGTCCCTCGTTTGGAACCACAACAAGTCACCGTTCGTTGCGCTGTCCGGGGGAAGGGAGTCCCGAAAAGCAGCCCTTGTACCTGCGTCCTGTCGCGTACGGGTCCTCGAACCATCTATATCTCTTCATGCCTCTCGAACCTCCGACATTCGCTATCACTCCACAACCGCGATTGACCTGGGAATCGTGGATTGCCGGGAGCTGCTCGCCAGCCTCAATCGCTCGCCCTTCGCTACTATGACGGATTGAGGGCCTATTCTTCGAATGTTTTATCGCACAGTCATTCGTTCTCCTTCCGCATTGGACTTGACGCTCGCTTGAATTTGAATTTGAATTGGGGGGGTTTCGACACAAGAGCAGCGCAGAATATTCTCCGGCGAGATGTTTTCCCTATGGTCGCTCGTTCTTCTACCTATCGCGCTGTCTTCAGCGCTGAACTTGGATCTGAATTTGGACTTGAGCTTGGGCAAGAAAACACCCCTCAGATTCATGCGCAGGAATATCATTTACTGGAACACCACGTCGCCCCATCCAGACCTCGCCTCGGAGGCATCCACAGTCACTTCGTCCAGTGCAACATCTACTTCAGTTCCCAGTGAGACAACCTCGTCCCCTGTATCGACAATCGCTTCGTCTAGTTCTACATCAACTTTTACTCCCGTCGACACGAGGTCCAGCCTCCCACCAATCGCTCAGTTCAGCCCTCCATCGATTCCAGCTCCATCTGACACCAGCACCACCATAACAGTCGCTACAATCTATCCTCCACCGATTCCCGCTCGCTCCGACACCAGTACCAGCTCAACGACAATCGCTTCGTTCGCTCCTCCACCGATTTTCGCTCCAGTGGGGTCGAACCCAAGCACCACGACAGTCACTGCGCCAACGAATACATCTACTTCTCTCTCAAGTGAATCGATTTCTTCTGATATTGGCACCCATATCAATGGATCAACACCTCCCGCTCTCAAAACCCCTCCACCTTTGCCCTCAATCACACGCCCTTTTACCAACACCACAATCAGTCTAGATCTTGGCATGACTACGAATTCCTCGACCGTGTCTCCAACTTGTACAGGCTCAGTCACGTACTTCGGAACTGTTCCACCCACAGTCTACGTGACTGTGACTGAGGGATTCGACGTGACTGTAACAGCCAGCAATGAGTCCATGACTGAGATGCCGACCTTGATCACTCCATTGCCAGCATGTGAAGCAACGATCATGCCCCTGGCTGCGTCATATTCGTATGCCCCGTTATCGACAGAATCGGAGGCCCCTTCAAACGTTCCTCAATTCGCTACCAATAATCCACTCATCGCTCCCGCACCTGAATCCACTCGGCCAGTGGTGCCTGCGGGAACACCTGCCATTGCTACCCCTCCCACGCCCTTGGCGAGCTCTGCTTCTGCTGCCTCTACAGCTGTCTACTCCAGTGTCGACTATACCAGTACTGTCGTCGTCACAAAGAAGACACCGGTGCCCGTGGTAATACCACCCACCACTTCTGTCGACATCAACTTCAATTTCCCGTCCCAGAGTTCCACCCCGCCTCCTAGCGGAAACAGTGGCAACAACGGTGGCGGCGGCGGGAACACCCCTGCTCCCGGTGGGAGTAACAACGCACCAGCACCTCCCGCAACCAGTAATGGAGGGGGCAGTTTCCCTTCGATCAGTAACCAAGGCCCAACCGGAGGTAGTTTGATCGTCGAGGCTCCTACAACTACAAAAATAGGCAATATCATCGCTTCCATCATCAACTCACCCTTTGCGACCGCCTCGCCTACTGGTCATGCTTCCGGAGCTGCCCCCTTGACTACCACAGTTGACGGTGTCCCTATTGTTGTACAGCCCTCCAGTGTGGTGATTGGCGGTCAGACCGTTGCAATCCCTAATCTGGTTCCCACCACCGTGCAAGCCTCCGGTGCTGTCTTCACAGTGGAGCCCTCCAAAATCATAGCTCCTTCAGCGACTATCACAATCCAGCTTCAACGTGACCAGATCGTGACACCTGTTCCTACGGCCACGATTACCACCGCGGTTGGCGATCTCACTCTCACCGTCGGACCCACGGTTGCGATCATCTCTGGAACGACGTATAGGATCGGAGAAGGTGCGCCAGCCACGACGATTATAGTTGACGGAACGAGGATCTCCATCGGCTCTGCTGGCGTTGGGTTACCTAGCACTACTGTGGCGCCTGGTGGCGCGACGAACTCGCCCTTCGTTGTCTACACCGTACAAGGCCTGACCTTCTCGATCGATGCCACTGAAGCCATTGTTGGTGGCACCACCTACCGCATTGGATCCAACGCTCCCCAAGTGACGACCACCATTGGCTCGGGACATGTGTCGGTGTCATTTGGCCCAGGGGGAGTTGGCCTTGAATCGACCACGATCGTTCCCGCGACAGCCTCATCGCACATATCTCAGACTACGAAGACCGGTTCAAAATCAACACCTGCAACTGCGTCTCCGACACAGTCTGCGAATGTAGCCAACGAGGCATCATCTCAGGTCTGCGGACCAGTCGTTCTTCGACGCTGTCTATTTGTTCTGTCTTTGGGATGGCTTGTTCTTTGAAGGCCCGAAATGACGTGATACGATGGAGTTTTAGATGTCTGACATATTGGGAGGAAAATGTCTGGTCTCTAATGATGGCTGGAATCGCCGGATACTTTTTGCCTCGGACTTTGGTACGATCATGATACCCGCAATAAATTAACGATATGATTGAGTGGAGTTGCTCCATGTGAGGACCCCTCCCTGGGGGAATTGGGTACAAGGAGGATGCTTTTTGGGAAAGGAAACAACGGTAATGGTATCCATGGGTATGGATCGCGAGGTGGTCCCAAAAAATCGTATACGTATAATCATCTCGGAAGATCGCAATGTCATCTCCATCTTCACAGTTTAGATAAGTTTAGCTCCATAAAAGACTTCCGGCCACCATTCCGGACATACTCATGATAGAAGCCATGAGGAGGTTGATTTGGTTGTTGTCCAGAATGTCGTTTCCGGAGTTGATCACCCTGCTGCTCTCTTCACCGCTGAACCTGCGGCCATGCCCTTGAAATTGTGCTGGGGCTGTGGACTTGGGCCTTGTGAGGACCTTGACACCACCGGGTCCTTCGACGATCTTTCCCGATCGACGATCAATGACCGACGCTTGCAGCGTCGCCCCCAAGAGGGAGTCCAGAAGCGTGCCGATCGTACCAAGCCCCGTGAGCAGCAAAAACATACCCAGAGCATTGGTGGGTGATGCAGCGCAGAAGGGCAGGAATACTAGGCTTGTGGCGGCAATGGCGGCGCTGCCGGCCACACCAGCCAGCAGTCCACCGACGGTCACGCCGCCGTTGGTACCTCGCGGCACCACTCGAAGCGGGTTCGTGATGAAGACTGGTTGGCTTTTGGAGAGAATGCCCAATTCGCTGGACAGGGTGTCCGCTGCCACCGCCGCATAGTTGGCCATTATCCCCATTAGCAACAAGTCACGAACCATGCCGTCGTTCGCGCGTCTTGCACCAAAACATTCCCTCTCCTGGCTCACACCTGTGCCGTATAGCCAGACATGCAGCAGACACAGCAAACTCGCACACCCACTATTCGCGAGCACCTGGATACTCGTCCGAGGCCCCTCTCCGCCTGAAGATCCACTGCTCGACATCGTCAATGTGGCCTTCACATCATGTTTCACTTTTGTGGCTGTCGTGCCGAGCAGGAAAAATACACAAAGTAACGTGAATGGGAGGGCAGACGGATGAAGCGCGTGAGTTGTTGCGGTGAGTGTTGCGCACAGAATTCCCAGCGGTGTGAGGGAGCGCCGAGTGTAGGCGCGGATGACGAGGAGGAGCGTTACCGGCATGGCGATTACGGGACGCATCTTGAGGATGTGGGAGAGATGGAGAGAGAGAGAGAGAGACAAACGGATTATGGAGGGAAATATATATAACCCAAGAGCTCTGTGCCTGGGAGGTTGCACAGTCGCGCCTTGAGCTGCACAGAGATTATGCGTGCCTTTGTTGTCGAGTTACTAACGAGGGCGCAGGCACCGCAGCTGTTTCCGAGAAATACGAGCATGACGTCTTTGTGGAGGCCAGTCGAGCCAGTCCCTCCATCAACGAACTTTTATCCATCTTTTCCAATGGGCATGGCACGGCCATCCCCTCCTGATTGCTAGCAGAGGGTTGAGAATGGGAGACCCTTTTTCCAAGCTGCAGCAACACCATGTTCAAATCACTCCTCCCTAGGTCTGTCACAGTGAGGCCGGATGCAGTTTGGCGACCCACCTCCAAAGCCAATGCTTTTCACAATGTTTCAAAACGAAGGCTCCATCTCGCCCCCCCTTTCCTCCTTGACGACTACATTCCTCGCTATCACCAGCTCTCCTCCGCCGAGGCAGCAAAAAAGCGTTCCGCCGCCTATGCTCACCTTCGTCAATGCAACCTCTGCCCGCGCCTCTGTAATGTTAATCGGTACGAGACCACGGGACACTGCTTGATCGGTGCAGAGACGGTCAAGGTATCGAACATCGCACCTCACTTTGGGGAAGAGCCGTGTCTTCAAGGGCATAACGGGTCTGGGTCTATATTCTTCAGCGGCTGCAATTTGAGGTGCGTGTTCTGTCAAAACCACGATATAGCGCACCAGAAGGTCGGCTTTGACCTGAGCCCGGAGGAGTTGGCGGAGTGGATGATCAAGTTACAAGAGGTGGGCAAGGTGCATAATATTAACGTGGTGACGCCCGAGCATGTCGTGCCTCAAGTTGCGCTGGCTATCCTGACGGCTAGGGACATGGGCCTTAATTTGCCAATCGTTTACAACACCAGCGCGTTCGACAGTCTGGAAAGTCTCAAGTTGATGGATGGACTTGTGGATATCTATCTACCGGATTTCAAGGTCTGGAGCAACGAAACTAGTAAGAGGCTTCTAAAAGCCGACGCCTACGCGGACACGGCCAGAGAAAGCATCCAGGAAATGTATAGGCAAGTCGGCGATCTGTGTTTCACTGCGGACGGGATCGCAAAGAAAGGAGTTTTGGTCCGCCATCTGGTCATGCCGGGAAAGGAACAAGAAGGAGTGCAGATCATGAACTGGCTGGCTGAGGCGCTCGGAAAGGATGTCTTCGTGAATATCATGGAACAATATTTTCCGACTGCCCACGTTGGTAAGGAGAAACGGGGCTCCAAGTCAGACAACTCGAGTAAGAGATATCCGGAAATCAACCGAGCGGTAACCCACGAAGAGATCGGTGTGGTGCAGAAGGCAGCCAGAGATGCTGGGCTTTGGAGATTTGCCGAGCCAGCGAGGCATGGTGGATGGAATATCTGAAAGACGTCTGGAAGCTTCTGTCATCCTTCATCAGTTGATCATTGGAGTCTACGATGAGCCTGAGACATTGTCAGTTATCTGAACGGTGATTCACACAATCGACTGACGAGCAATGGACGAGTTTGGCACAGCGAATGCAATATCCGCAGAAGCACCGACAGGCACTGGTGTTCCTACAACCGAGCCCACTTGGCCAAAGCTTCATTGTCCATGCAAATCCACATTCTTGACCTATCTTTGGTCGCGACTGCTGCCGTTTGTTGGCCTTACTCCTTTGTGAGATCAACAAGTCAAAGACAGATGTTCTCACAAAAGCCGTGCGCGGAAGTCAATGGTTGAATCCATTCTAACTTCCTACGATACTCGGAGACGGTCCTCAAGCCTAGGACGACCACGACATGGCCGCATTCCAGCATCTAGGACCTTTCGGCTCCCCAAGACCAACTCTAGTCACAGCTCTGCATTCCCAAGTCCGTCAGGAAGCAGAGTATATCCAGGAACGTATAGCTGCCGCGGAGGGCCTTTACCGAAAATTGACCGCGGACATCATGAAAGCCCAAGCAGACCTTGGAGAAGTGCAAAAAAATGGGGGCTTCGAGAAGGTGATTAATTCTTTTAAAAGGAACATCAGAAAGAAACGATCGCGATTGAGCAGATGCGTGAAGAATCGGCAGATCTTTGAGACACGACTGGCTACCATCTTTGCAGAAATGAAAAGAATGGAACAGCAGCAATGGCGCCACCACAGTGCTTCTCACATTCACAACCTTGGAATGTCAAGTGCTGCAGATTTCGGTAATGCTTCTTACACAGCGCCGAGCTGGTCAGCGATCCCGTACATGTCAGCGTCTTGGTATACGGGTACATTGCAGAATCTCGAGGGTCCGATTCTTCAGGCACCGTATTCTCGATTTCCCCAAGACCTGTACCAATCTGTTCCGAACTATGTTCCTCAGACACCAGTCATCCGCCCAACACAGATTCCACAATTAGGATTTGCACAGCCAGATCAGCAGGAATGCGGTGTTCGTCGAGTTAGTAATGAACCAGGAATTAGCCCTACCGACACAGTATCCCCTTGTGAATTGAGTTCTCCAAGAGGCTTTCCAGTCAATTACAGTCCTGCTGCTACTCAACAAAGCGACCTGCTCCAGGTGATGAGCCCGATGCACATCTCTCAACCCCATGATTAAGTATATCGACTACGGTGCTTGGCCAGGGGAGTCTTGATTTGTCGCAACATCCTAGCATGCTTGATCGCCAAAGTGCGGCATTTCGACTCCAGAAAGCAGCCAAAAATAGGTAGAGGTTAGGGGTCCTATTAGCGAGGTGGTAAAGCCGTTCGGCCTTGGGCAACGACTTTCTTTTTCGTATGGACAGGAGTCAGATGCCGTTATTCATATCAAAAGTACAACCATACACAGATTAGGATGACCGTCAATATCTTTGGAATCAGGAATTGTCGCGTTTTCAGGCTCGCCACGAAAATGACTGCCGCCGCGGCGAACTACCAACAACACGACGAGACGCATTGTGTACCTGTTTGCTCTCTTTTTTTTTTTCTGTCATACCCCTCTCTGCATCTTTTGTTTGCCGGTAAACCTTCCACCTTCTCCCCAATTCAATCGGTTGATATCCCACACAGGACTTCAGCATCGACGTCACCCTTTATCCGAATCACAAGCCCAGTTTCCACGTCCATCCTATCTTTCGTTTCTCCCTCATTTCCTTGTCTCCTAGCCGCGGACTCCTGTTTGTTGAACCTTTGAGCGAAAAGCTGCGGGCACCTCCAGACTGGCCAGTGCGGCTCTTGTCGCTTCTCACTGTGTGTTTCATCACCTGTTTCCATCTTCTTCATGCAATATACTGGATAACACTAGCGCAGACACGTTTGACCATGTCCTGGCTGGTAGTGGATTTGCTGGGTTGGTAAGTAGTAGCAGCAAGGCTGGGTGAGAATCCAACTGTGCCCGTGGCGTGCATCGAAGGTGGTTCTATATGTCTCTATTTAAATGCGCCTCCTGTGCTGCCGAGCTCACAATGCAGCGACAACTACGAGGGACTCTATCGAAATCCCGGCCTACATCGGCACGTCAACACAACACCGCAGAACCAACTTGGTAGCAAACCACGCATGCTCAGCTTAAGCAAGGGTGTCAACGGAGACATTCTAATCAACAGCATAGCGTAGAATTAAGGCAACCAGAACGACTTCAACATCTGCGCTGCGTTGGGGAATCCAGGCTAGGGACCAAGGGAACTTCTTTCCGTATTTCAAGAAGTCCAAGACTACCGGGGTCTGCAGAACCAGCCTGTCGTGTTCGTCGAATCCATGCACGACTTCTTGGGACCCGTGAATGTTTCCTGTCCGCAATACTTCTAGCCACAGACAAGTAAGCACATAGTAAATAAATGCTTTGTCCAGACCTGAGAGCATTTACTACTATATTGCCCGCTCGCCTAGTGTTAAACCGGTTCCATCCCAGTTCCAGCCGGGTTCTGGCCTGGGGCGGACTCGATTTCAGGGGGTTATAGGTGGGCTAGACCGGTTCGAACTACGTCGAATCGATTTAAGATTACTTTAACTCGGCTCGAACTGGGCTAAATCGATTTAAAGTCGATTTATATATTTAAAATAATCATTATATAATTATTTCACTAGTAAACTAAGTCGAATCAGTTCGAATCGACCTGGAATCAGACTCAATCCGGGCCATAACCAAGTCTGCTACTTAAATTGCTGATCCGGGCTGACTCGGTTCGAACCGATCTAACACCTAGGGGGAAGGCAACAGAGTAGTAACCTACACGGCCTCCAGACAAGAGAGCCATGCATCTGACGCGGTACATGTATTATATACACACGCAACTGGTTCGAGGTACTTGACATCCTCTACGTCCCAACCCCAACGACGGATTATTCTCTAGGAGTTACCAGTACTAGTACCTCCTGCCCTTGTCGATTGACCCGGTCAATCAGACTCGCTCTGACGCACGACGGGCAAACCACGACGTTGCGGCTGGTCGTCAGTCTTGCCTAGCTTACGGCGTAGGAGGATCTCTTCCGCTATCATGAGAGAAAGATGTCTATAGAGACCTTCACGGTGCTGAATCTCGTAAAAACAATGTACTATCATTTCGAACGAGACGCCCATCTCAGGTACGACCAATCGCCACCTCCTTGAAGCCTATGCGTTAGCAACTTCCACATTGAAGAGTCCGGTCCTAGTTTGGCGATGACGAAGAGCTGGAACCATGATCTTTAATGGCTTTGCCATCGATGTTAGTGACAAACGCACAATAGAGTACTACTACTAGGACACTGTTGATAGAAATTTCGAAGGCGTTGTCCGATGACGCCCTGGTCCCTGATCTCCCTGTTTGAAATGGGGACTGATACCATAGGTAGTACTAGAAGTAAATGGCATGTGGCCATGCTTGACATGTGCGATGCTGACAAGGTAATTTTCACCCTTTGTGCCTCATCGATAAAATAAGTAATGAACAATCGCTTGAGGTAATTATTAATATGCTAGTATTGAGATTTTCCACCCTTCGATTTCTTCTAGAGTACGACTAGTAGTATGTGCATCTGCTACATATCGATTGTCGCCCCAATAACGCGGTCGGGGTGGCGAATAGAACGCAGCTAAGCCGGATTAGTCGATTCGGGTGCTCTGCTTCAAATGCCCCGTGAGTGATTTGGGAAACCAGCTGCGCCGGGGGTAGGGTGTAGGAGTGGTTGGTTGATTCCGTCCCTCTTCTTAACCGTTAGTGGTGCTTCTCATGATGGGTTTTAATTTGTCTGATGGAACCAATGTAAATAAATAGAATAGTCGTACTACTACAACAATGTAGTCATCGTCTACAGAACCGGGGGTCCTCCCTTCGAAGCCGAGGTTTCCTCTTCGACAGTTCGGCTTAGTTTCTACGAGGCATTCTTGGTGAAGCCACATAGTAGTAGTACTAGTACTATTAGTAGTACCCACCAAGTGCAACAAGGGAGCCACTGGGGGAGAGCCGCCCTTTTTTTTGTTTTTGAGGGATTATGAAGAGGGCGGCGCTGTAGCATTGTAGTTAGAAACGAACACTTCTGAAAGACTCCTACGTAGAAGCCCTTGCACTGGTGGTGTTTTGCCCACGCGTCATATGGATTGCTGATGGTGAATACCGCCATTGCTTGTTGAGGGGCGACCTTCAAAAAGTGTCGGTGAGGAGTTTGACGATATAAGGCGGCATAGTGTGAGTTGGTAATAGGATTCTTGTAAAGCGACAATAACAATGTCAAACTTGCTGGCGACACATTTTGCATCTAGAAGAAAATAGTAGGACTGATCCTGTGCCATTTTCTCAGTCCAGCCTGGGATCTTGCTAACACGCCAGTCCCTCAATGCAATGGGGCCGTGGATGTGACCAAGAGATGGTTGTCGTCCGCGCCATCAAGGAGGCCATTATCAGTTTTCTAAGGATGGTGGGGAGGCATATGGCAATGTTGGAGATTAGCTTGAGCTTGGTGTTGAAGCCAGCTCAAGCCATGTACCATGAAACGTAGTACATAGTGTACATGTGACAAGCTCCGCCGCTTTAGCAAGTTCGATCGCTGCTTTAACCCCTCTTCTTTCCTCTCCAACTATTCATCCTAATAGAGATGAATTTGACATCGAATGAACTCTGAAGTTGGGAACTTCGAAAGGTTTTGCCCTTCTATCACCTCCCTTCCACGAAATGCTGGCAGGTTCTGATCTGTTAACTCTCAACTTCTTAAAGGAGCTCTCTGGGAACAGCTTGGACTCCATATTATCAATAAGGCAAGCAATTCACACTAATCTACTGAGGACGGTACTTCCCAGAGCATATATGGTTCACGAATAGCGGGTTCACAATACCGAGGACATGCATGCACAGTCAGAAAACACAGGGACCTCGGTGGCTCGAGAAACGGATCAGATGGCAGTGCGCTTGGCTCATGTCATTCGAACGCAACATCTCTCTGCGTGTGCCATTCGCATACCCACATTAATTTGAGGGGAAACTGGAAGAAACAAGGCCCCGTATCGACGGTCGAAAGGAGATGGTTGCGGTTCCGCCTTTCTCGAGGTACTAGTATTGTTCGACATGTTTACTTATCAGGAAATGCCTATTTAGGAAACTTGTTCTCTCTACTGACATGGGTCCTGCTAACGCTGCTTTTCCAGGTCGAAAAGCAGCCTGCGTCTTTTTCCGTAGAGACAGATCTCGCTCTGTCCTCATTGGCCACTGTCGACGCATGGGAGCTGCAGCATTCCAAGTTTGGTCTCACGTCCCCGGAAATCCACAGAGTTTGGAGACAACCAAGAAAGATGCCATAATCATGAGTCTCACCCGGTACTGAGTACTAATTCAAATACCATGGACGCCCACATAAAGGACACTCTCTCTGCCCACTGAGCCCCTTTCTACTCGGTGGCACATTGGAAATACTAATTTCGCGAAATTCGAATTCATATCCAATCCATATTGTCCGCTTCCGGCAAAGAATAATACTACTAGTACAACATCATGGCCGCGACAAAGAAGCCCATCCTCTACTACTTCAATCTGGGGAGCAAAGGCCGTGGCGAAGTTGTCCGGTAAATACTACTATACTATCCGACAGCTGTGGCCGTTTGGTCGAATGGAAGTCAGTTGTTGTAAGCCTGGTTGCTGACCTCGAGAACAGGCTGTTCCTAAGAGAACTTGGCATCGACTACGAGGACAAGCTTTACATTTACGAACCAACGTGGCACCAGCAGGAGGTCAGCAAAGAACTTCAGGACAAGGGATTGACCATCACTCGTAAATTGCCATCATTGGATATTGACGGCCATGTTCTATCTCAGGTGAGATCTATCTACTACTATTAGTATTAACAAACAGTCCTAGTACTTGGTGATTGTCGATGATGGCGTCGCCTGTCTCGTCCGTGAAGGATCTGACCGTGAGTCCAGCATATTCCCATCCTGAGATATCTTTCACGGTCCGTGGGTGCTTATGATGGAACCACGAACTACGAAAAGTGGTTGGTCGACGCTGTTTCCGACACGTACATCGACTGGAGGGTGCGTATAGCATTTCCGACCAAGTTTGTGGTTATGGGGTGGGCTGACAGAATTCGACACACAGTTCCTGTGGGTGGCCAATTTGACCGACAACAAGCCTGAATACAAGACCGCGACCGTCCCCCGTTTCTACGCCATCTGGGACAAGTTCTACTCGAAAAACTCGGGCCCGTACCTCCTTGGGAACATCGTCACGTACGCCGACTTTGCGATTTTCCAGGCGCTGGATAATGACGAAGTAGTCGGTTGGGCGCCGGTACGTCTCAGAGATCCCTGTTTTATCGGAATTACTGGTCCTTGTCTTCTCTGCTGACACAAACATCCCTCTCAGGATTCCATTCCGGAGTCACTCAAGGCCCTGAAGGCTGCCATGTCCGAGCGCCCAAACATCAAGGAATACATCGCTGCGAGAAGCGGATAGTCAGCCCTCTGGAACTGGTATAAGCCACAGGCAGGTATTCCAGGTTATGGGCATTGCCAGCTGGGTGAGGTCAGTCTGAGGAATGAAAGTACTAGTAGTGTCCCGCAAACGGTCAATCGGCAAAAACCATATATGTTTCGCAGGGTTCAGACAGTCTGAGCCCTGCGTGAATGTCAATCCTTACATCATCTCCATTCCAAGGGATGTCAATGAAATACGGAGACGAGAGTGGAGGAGTGACAGCCAGAATGTATATCGATCCATCGCGTGCAAGTATTAGGCAATCGAGAGATTCCTGCCAATCCACGCGATGGCCCATGCATATACGTTCTCACGCGCACATACCTCAACCATGCTGCTCGAGACGCATGGGCGTGGTGTAAGTTTGGTATCCCACCTGTGGACGGGAAGCCATGGTGTAGGGCTGAGGTTGGTTTGGATACGCTTGATACTGCTCGTATGGCTGGGCTTGGTATCCGAGTTGAGGTTGCTGTTGGTAAATGTAATGTTGACCGTGTATGCCAGGTTGAATTTGAAGAAACAATCCCTTCCCAGGTTTATTAGAATTCACCTTGTCGTCTTTCAAGCTCGCTTCATTTTGTTCTCGAGATCTGGTTGCAATTCTAAACTTTTCCGCCTGTCTCGATCCCATCTCCTCTCCTCAACTTGTTCAAGTCATATACACCGCTCACAAGCGAGCTCGGGGCTCACGAAGGTTCTTCTGGAGACTTCAAGAAACCAAGGATATTCATGGTTCTCATGCGGAAGTGAGAGCAAAGAACGATTCAACAAGGGGGAAAGCTGACGTTAAAAGAGACGGGTTAGTCAGGCTGTTATGACGTCGATGGCACGACAATTGCGAGCCTCGCCCTGTCTCGATGGACCTAGTGCCATGGCACGGCATATGACCCCAGGGGATTCAGCCTCGTCAGAGACACACACCAGAACAGTCTCTACGGGACTCCAAAACTCGAGATCAGCACCACCTTTATGGAAGGACATTGAAGAGCTAAGGAAAGAGACTCGATCGTTCCCACCATCTCATTTTTGATGCCGCGGTCTCGTCTACGATCCGAGCTGAGTTCTATTTCTTGGCAAGGCTGACAGCGATATTATCGTCTTATCATTGTCCTCCGTACCGAGTAGGTATCCAAGTGGTCTGTGCAACGGTCCCAATCCCGCCACGAGACCTTCAAACATGTCGCTCTTCTCCAAGACGCAATACAACTCCATCTCCGCATCCTACGACTCGGTCAATGACCTGCCCATCTCGCGTGCCATCGTCGTCAATGTGGAACGCCTAATCCGGCCACACATCCGGGGCGCCCGCGTGCTGGAACTCGCGTGCGGGACGGGCTTCTTCACCCGGCACATGCTGAACTGGGGCGCCGCGACCGTGGTGGGTGTGGACGTGTCGCAGGCGATGATCGACATCGCGGAGGTCGAGACGGCCAAGCACCCCGAGCATGCCGGCAAGTACAGGTTCATGGTGGCGGACTGCAGCGCGCCGTTTTCTGCGAGCGACGAGGGCATCGAGGGTGGCGGTGGCGGTGGGTTCGACCTCGTCTTCGCCGCGTGGCTGTTGAACTACGCGCAGGACCAGGCGACCATGGGCGCCATGTTCAGGAACGTCGCCGACCACCTGAACCCGGGAGGGCGGTTCATCAGCGTGCTTCCACACCCGGAGGACGACCCCATGGTATGTATCTCACAGGTCAACGCGCAGCGCAAGCTGGGTTACGGGTATGGAATCGAAGTACGCAAGGCGCTCCCGGAGATCAAGGACGGGTACTACGTGCACTTATTCTTTGACACCGTGCCGTCCGTCGACTTTGGGAACTATTACTTGCCCAAGAACGTGCACGAGACCGCGGCCCGGCAGGGAGGTATGAAGGGCGCGTTGACTTGGGAGCCGGTTGCGATGCCGGACGATTACGACGAGATCAACCGCTACATGCAGGATCCGGTGCCCCGGGGGTATTTTGACCAGTGGCTGCAGTATCCGGACTTCGGGATCTTGGTGGTTGAGAAGTAGCGAGTGAATATATGTGTTACACCAGTATCTCAACACACATAGAAAGCGATTGCTTGTGCGAGTTCCATGTGGTTCTAGGTCATTCGCTCATTCACCCGAGCTGCAACGCACATCTCACCATTCAACACCTCGCCATGCCTCAACAACTTCGTTGGCGATACACTCTTCACGGTGCGGTCAATCAATAAAGAGGAAAAGTTCGACGTCGTTGGATCAAACATGCTGAAACCTAAAGCGGCTCGTTTCAATATCCACCGAGCAGTTCGTCCAGGGGTTAACTTTGCGCACAATGCCGCTTCGATGACGACTTAAAAAAGGGCTACTTCTCGTCGCATCTCCCAAATAACGCACGTAGAGATACTTCAACTTAGCTCGGAATGTCTTATGGGCGGCGGTGACTGCTCTTTGAGGTATGTAGCAGAAATAGCCACCATCAGAATGGGAGAACACGTCTGCTAAGCAGGAGGAGCTGGCTTTTCCGTCTCTGGCTCACCCCTAAAGAGTTTCTGGACCTGTAGACGATAACCCACTAGTCGGATGGCTCCCATCGCTCGCCAGGATCCTTGTTCATATCCTGGACTCGTCTCGCCCTCAGCGCCTCGTACCGCCCGCCGAATAACTCCGCGAGGTTTCCGAGATTGAAAACGGTCAAATATGTCCCGATGGCAACTAGGGTCGCGGTAACGATGAACGCGTTTCTCGTGGCCATTTCAGTGATGTTGGAAATCACCCATAGTGCCCGCAGTTGGGATTAGTGACCTTCTAATAAGTGATCATATAATGGGCTACTGCCGACATGCTCCGTCCTCGCACCATGTCGCAACCGGAAATTCCTACACTTTACGTGCACAGAAAGCTTGAAGGTGTTGCCTTGGGAGACATGTACCTAAGGTATCCTGCCCTACCACTCCGGGGAGCGTGCGCGATGGCGTCGGGTATCCCACCCGGCTCAACAGGAGGACTGCGTAACGACCGCCCCAGCAAAGACATCTCTTCGCCAAAAAAAGACCCTACAGTAGATAGACATCTGCTAAGCTGCCGTCAAGAATTTCGGGTGTGGTTTGTTTCCGCCTACGATTTCATGAGTTAGGAAGACAATGGCTTCCATTTTCGTAGGCCCTTTCAGGCTTTGGCTGGTAGGCAGAGTAATAAGCCCGCGAGAGTAGCCAACAAGATATAAAGCGCAGAATAACGTCCGTCTACTCTCCTCTGAATATGATACTCGGCCGGTATTTGAGAAATCGACAACCTCGAATAGGAATGCTGTAGAGTGCAATGCAGCTCCATGTGAAGCCTTTCTCACAAAACGAGCCGATAATTCGCAGAGCCGCGCCAGCACCAGCCTTGCGTCGTCGGCGCTCGGTCTCAAAGTGGCTTTACAAGGCTCGCTCGCTTCAAGTTTGTAACCAATTAATGCGACTAAAGCGACTATACCTTCCAAGTTGTGCCAGACTTTAACGGTGGAAAATAGTTGCGAGGGCAAATATGTGGCGACCAAACCCCGTTGCTGGTCAACAATCAAAGCATTGGTGCCCATCGGCCAGTTGAAGACATAGGCCACCTCTTGGCCACCTCTAGGGTTTATCCAAAGTGAGCTTTCGATGCCCAGATAGCGCAGGGGTTGATTGAGACGAGTTTTAGGTGATATCAAGCGATGACCCTGCAGCAACGCGGCCGAGGTGTGCGTCTGCCGGGGATTGCTCATTTTAACTGGTGAGGAATGGTGGGGGCGTCACCTCCGCGACGCGGATGTGGAGGATGTGCCAGAGGACGGTGCGCCTAGTACTTAGCTGGGCGACCACTTGGGGGTTCCCTACCATCCATCGAGTTTGACAGGGTCTTTTACCCCTTTCCCTCACCAAAAAGAAAAAAAAAAGGCGTGAAAGATACTGTTCGATAGAAGTTGCGGCGAGGATCGGAACTGATGGATGGAATTTTGATAGGGATTTTGTTGAAGATCTTGAACAGGTCGGAAAGACACCCGAGGGAGAAGCTCTAAAGTCTATCCGAAGCTTCGTACTCCGTCATCCTGCTGTCGTCCCCATGCGAATAGTCAGATACTGATCTCGACATGTATACCTGTGTCAACTCAAGTACAGTCTCAGATGTCGGCGATGCTCTCATGACATTCCATCCGTCGACGAAGGATCCCTGCCCATGAATACTTTGTACAGTCGTTTGCTGATCTGTGGACCTAATCTCTTGTCACTCCATCCGCCATCTTTGTTCACAGTCTTGCGGACATCTTCGAGTAACAAGTTGCCATGTTTGTCGAACCCTTTCACGAGCTTTCGAATGGTCTTGTATTCTTCCGCGATGCCGTAAGCCATGCTTGGGGTCACTCTCTGCACCTCCTGAAGCATTTTGACATATGTGTCCTTGCAGTCATCTCCGGTCCGGACTTGCCCACTGTCCATGCAGAACGACGCAGATTTAAGGTTGTACTCAAGCTGCGCTAAGCGATATGGCCGGGTCGAAAGATGCTGAGTCAGTGCACATACTTGAGATGCCGAGTCATTTGACGTCGATGTATGATGAATCAATATTGGTTGATGAGCCAGCTGAAGATGGAGGAGCAGATCATCGACGACGTCAGACGTCACAACGGACAGGTCCAGAGACCCAGTCGCGGGCTTCTTCCGCTTGCGACTTCTGGCCTGGGATGTGGCATGCTCGGCATTTGCTGAGCTTTCACCGTCAGTGTGCAACATCTGAGCTCGAACAGCAGCAGTGTATGCTCGATTCTTCACCGTCTCATTCTTTTTGAGCCAGCTGCGGAGCCCTTCGATCAGATAGATTGGAACGCAATCCCCGAAACGCCGGCGTATCGACGAAACATGTGCATCCAAGTTTGCCTTCATCTCTTCCTCCTCCCGTACAACACCAGCCACAGATCCCGACCTTGACATTGCTGCAATGGCTACAAAGTCCTCAGCGGGCAGATGGAGCAAAACGTGATTTTCGTTAACGATACGACATCTGGAGGTTGGCTCCCACAGGTCGTCTTCATCGTTGTAGGTTGACTTCACCTTACGGCGCCAGGTGATGATGCTTCCGTGCCGCTCTGGTTCAGCAGCTGCATCAGCCAGGTTGACCTCTTCATGGATATAATTTACGTCGACCTGCACATTTTTCATGCGTTCCTCGATTTGATTGCCGACACTTGTATCCTTGAGAAAGCTCGACATATCCAAGATCATTTCCGTTGTTGCGTCTTTTTTATTCCTCCGTGATTTGTTGACTTCCGCAAGGTCCGCTGCCTTCTGCTTCTCCTTCGCCTTCTGCTCCCTCTCCAATCTCCTCTTCTCTTTCTCAGCCTCTTTTAGAGCCTGTCGCTCTACCCTCGCTGCTGCCTTCTCGCCGACTCTGGTAGCCCTTTCGGCTTCCGACAATTTGGAAGAATTTATGCTTTTGACCGGACGGGCCGAAAATTCAATGTCATCAAAAATTTTGGGTGCCAGTTTTCCTGTCGTTATATTCTGAAGCGGCTTTACTTTAGATGGGCGCGATTTAACTTTCCCTTCTTCGGTGGACGCTCGATGAAGGGTGGCCAGAAGATTCTCCGTCCTGGGATCGTAGCCAGTTTGCATTGGCTGTGACAGACTCAATAGTTCATCGTCAAGGAGTCGACTTTCCAATTTATCCAATGGAAACCTCCGAGAAGGATCAAGATTCTTCTTCTTGTCCGTGGTCAACGGCTCCGGAGCCGATGAGGAGAAGGTAATTTCATCGAGAATTTCGGCCTTTTTGTTCAGGCCCGAGGAGCGTAAGAACGAGGCTGTAGAGACATTGAACCTGGGCTCGGGTTGCGGTCCGTCGCTAGAAAAGATCTCAAACGGGTCTTGTGAGCGTTGTTCAGCGGTGACATCCGCTCTGTTATGCCTAAAGGGAGAGCCGACAAATGAGCTTTGTCGTTTCCTCTTAGAGGGCCTGTCAAATTTGATATCAAGCGAACCAATATCGTCAAAGTCGTCGATATCCAAATCAACGTAGTCGTAGAGCGGTTCTCTCCTGCCTAGTGATACTGGGGCAGCCTTCGTGGCCTCAGGACTTCTGAGTGGTGATGATGACAGAATCACAATGACCTCGTTCATTGTTGCTGCAGGCCAATATACGTCGGCGTCGACGTCGGGCAAAGAACAAAGAGAAGAGAAACACAGGTTCAATAGAAGCACGTCATCTGGCACGGCAATTGTGTGCAGTTAACAGCATTGAATTGACGACGAGGCACTCTACCAAGTAGGGAAACAACACTTACAAGTGTTGTCATCCCATGCGGAAGCCGCCAACCCGGATCAGGAAAAGCCCAAACAATCTTGGCATCGAACCGTCGCGTCCATCTCTCGGCAACGCGTAAAGTGGATTGCGCAGATTGTTCTGTCTCATCTTTGCCTACTCATCATCTATCGTCTTCTGTTATGGAAGAATTGCAGCTGCTGATCTGCATCAGGATTCATTCTCTTAGCGCGTGCAAATTCACTTGCCCTCCTGTCCCCTCGACCGTACTTGGCCTTGATGACTATAGCCAGCATTGCTGCCGCAAAAGCCGCTGTGAGCCAGACTACCAGGACGATGGCTTTCCTCTCCAGAAAGGTGCTTCGTTTGCTCTTCAGCATCACAGTGATTTCATCGTCGAATTTCCCGGCCATTGTGCTCCTAGTAAAATGCTGACAGACTCTTTCTCGCCCATTTCGACCAATCATCTCGAGGTCGGCCGGGCTGAGTTCGTGCAATACTTTGTTGATGACTGCGGTCCATTCTTCCACTTTGGATGCGTCACGTAACCAACCTGTTTCGTCTTCGACGATGGTCTCCAGTGGGCCGCCAGAATTTGAAGCTAGAACAGGGACTCCGTGGTGCATAGCTTCCACTGGCACAATACCAAAATGCTCATTCGACGGAGTATATAATAACAGCCGAGCGTTGTTTAGGAGAGTCTCTTTGAAGAACCCTGGCACGGATAGCAAGAATAAGACTTGTATGCTGCTGGGAATACCTAA